GGTATAGCGAGCGAGCATTTTGGGGAATTAAATTTGACTGGTTGACTGATTTTTGCCAATTTTGAGGCCCGCGTTTATCAACCTGTAAAAATTCGGGATTGTGGAGTTTTGTTTTGAAACTTTCAGTATATTTAGACTCAACCAATTTCTCATGGCGAGGAAGATTTCAGGTTGCTGCTTGCAAGAGTTTCGAAGATGCAAATTTTTAAAGAAGGCAGAAACCTGAATTTTGAGATAAGCATTTACTATGCAAGTAAAAGTTTGGATTCTGGGCAGTCCTTATGAAAGTTTCAGCATTTTAAGCCTGAGGCATTTGCTGAAGATCGGGAGAGATTAAAGGTGCGACTGGTGTTAGTTTGGAAGATACTAATTTTTAAAAGAAGGAGCGCAGTTTGGTAGTGACTTACATTTTTATCTCCATATTTGATAAGCCGGGAAAAATCAAGGTTCTGGTGGATTCATATAAAACTTTCAATATCAATCTCGATTGAAGCGTTTTTTAACTACGATAAAAATCTACAGTTATAACTTGCTTCCGTTTGGGAAAGGCGAATTTTGAAAAGAATTAGTGCAGTTTGGTAATAACCAGCAAAAATCAGGGTTCTGGACGATTGATACGAAACTTTCAATATCTTTCGACTGACGTCTCTTCTAACTACGGTAAAAATATCTAGTTATAACTTGCTTCAGTTTGGGAAATGCGAATTTTCAAAAGAAGGAGCGCAGTTTGTTAATAACTTGCATTATTAACTCCACATTTGCTAAGCCAGCAAAAATCAGGGTTCTGGACGATTGATATGAAACTTTCAATATCTTTCGATTGAAGTGTTTTCTAAGTACCGTAAAAATCTCCAGTTATAACTTGCTTTCGTTTGGGACATGCAAATTTTCAAAAGAAGGAGTGCAGTTTGTTAATAACTTGCATTTTTATCTCCACATTTGCTAAGCCAGCAAAAATCAGGGTTCTGGACGATTGATATGAAACTTTCAATATCTTTCGATTGAAGTGTTTTCTAAGTACCATAAAAATCTCTAGTTGTAACTTGCTTCCGTTTGGGAAACTCGAATTTTGAGAAGAAGGAGTGCAGTTTGCTAATAACTCCATTTTTATCTCCATATGTTCTAAGCCAGAAAAAATCAGGGGCTGGACAATTGATATCAAACTTTCAATATCTTTCGATTGAAGTGTTTTCTAACTACGACAAAAAGGTCCAGTTATAACTTGCTTCAGTTTGGAAAATGCAAATTTTGAAAAAAAGGAGCGCAGTTTGCTAATAACTTGCATTTTTATGTCCATATTTGCTAAGCCAGAAAAAATCAGGGGCTGGACGATTGACATCAAACTTTCAATATCTTTCGATTGAGGTGTTTTCTAACTCCGACAAAAAGGTCCAGTTATAACTTGCTTCAGTTTGGAAAATGCGAATTTTGAAAAAAAGGAGCGCAGTTTGCTAATAGCTTGCATTTTTATCTCCATATTTGCTAAGCCAGCAAAAATCAAGGATCTGGACGATTAATATGAAACTTTCAATATCTTTCGATCGAAGTGTTTTCTAACTACAATAAAAATCTCCAGGTATAACTTGCTTTCCTTTGGGAAATGCGAATTTTGAAAAGAAGGAGCGCAGTTTGGTAATAACTTGCATTTTTATCTCCATATTTGCTAGGCCAGCAAAAATCAAGGTTTTGGACGATTGATATGAAACTTTCAATATCTTTCGATCGAAGTGTTTTCTAACTACAATGAAAATCTCCAGTTATAACTTGCTTCAGTTTGGAAAATGCGAATTTTGAAAGAAAGGACCGCAGTTTGCTAATAACTTGCATTTTTATCTCCATATTTGCTAAGCCAGAAAAAATCAGGGGTCGGGACGATTGATATGAAACTTTCAATATCTTTCGATTGAAGTGTTTTCTAACTGCGACAAAAATCGCCAGTTATAACTTGCTTCAGTTTGGGAAATGCAAATTTTCAAAAGAAGGAGCGCAGTTTGTTAATAACGTGCATTTTTATCTCCACTTTTGCTAAGCCAGCAAAAATCAAGGTTCTGGACGATTGATATGAAACTTTCAATATCTTTCGATCGAAGTGTTTTCTAACTACAATAAAAATCTGCAGTTATAACTTGCTTCAGTTGGGAAAATGCGAATTTTGAAAAAAAGGAGCGCAGTTTGCTATTGCCTTACATTTTTATCTCCATATTTGCTAAGCCAGCAAAAATCAAGGATCTGGACGATTAATATGAAACTTTCAATATCTTTCGATCGAAGTGTTTTCTAACTACCATAAAAATCTCAAATTATAACTTGCTTTAGTTTAGAAAATGCGAATTTTTAAACGAGGGAGTTTGGTAACTTTTTCAAGTAAAGTAAATACTTGCTTCATTATGGAAAATGCATGTGAAAAAAATCGCATTAGCAAATAAAATTAACTAGTACGAACTCTTTTCCAAAAAAACAGTCCTTTGCATCTAGACTTATATCTGGGCCTCAGTCAATAATCTGTTATTTGCCACTTTTTGGATTTTGGAGGAAATTTTGCGTTGCTTGTTAACCCAACCCGTTGACTCCTTAGGTGGCCCAGGGCAGACTGGAAGGCCTCCTGAACTACCAAACAATGGTATCCGAGCTGACCGGCTTAGAGGTAGCAAACGCCTCACTTTTAGATGAAGGCACCGCTGCAGCAGAAGCGCTCTCTTTGTGCTACAGACAAAACAAGAGGCGCAAGTTGCTGCTTTCTGATAAACTGCATCCGCAGACCATTTCCGTGGTCCAAACCAGGTAAACTAACAAACTCGCGTAAAAAAACTTGGCATAGTTGGTTGGTTCTGGTCGCAGGTTGAACTCCTTGGGCCTGCAAGTGGAAGTGGTGAATGTATTTGAAGCGGATTTCACCAATCGGGACGTATCTGGGGTTCTTTTCCAATATCCAGATACCGAAGGAAATGTGCTGGATTTCAGCCAAGTGGCTGAAGACGCTCATGCCAATGGTAGGCGAAACTCAAGCGAATCAACTAACACAAATGGGTTCAATTAATGTCAGGTAGTCTGGTCTGTTGCGCTACCGATCTCCTAAGTCTCACGCTTTTGCGGCCACCAAGCGAATTTGGCGCTGACATAGCGATTGGAACGTCCCAAAGACTGGGCGTGCCTTTAGGCTACGGCGGTCCTCATGCTGGATTCTTCGCCTGCAACCAATCGCTGGTCCGCTTGATGCCCGGCAGGATGATTGGGGTGACCAGGGATGCGGCTGGACGAGACGGATATCGCCTAGCTTTGCAAACACGAGAGCAGCACATCCGAAGAGACAAGGCGACCAGCAATATCTGCACTGCTCAGGCATTGCTGGCTAACATGTCGGCAATGTTTGCAGTGTATCACGGACCGCAAGGGCTCAAGGATATTGCTACAAAAATTCACCACTTTGCCTTGGTAAGCTTCGCCTTGTTTCATCGGGGCAAGAGCCCTGAGGCTAGCTCCAAAAAATTGATTGCAATAAAATATGAATTCTCAGACTATGAAGGCTTCACGGCCGGTTAAATCACATTTAGGAATGTTTTCCGGGCTTCGAAGCCGTGGTCTATGGGAATTTCTTCCTGACGTTTCGTCCACAACTGCGGTGGACATTATCAAAGGCGATGAGGCAGTGGGCGAACGGATCTCCCGTGCTTCTCGACTACGACTGATGATCACCAGCCTTAGTCGGAAAGCACGGGAGATCACTTCGCCCATGTATGCTACGCCAGCAAAAACCAATGTCCTGGACGATTGATATGAAACTTTCAATATCTTTCGATTAAAGTGTTTTCTAAGTACCGTAAAAATCTCCAGTTATAACTTGCTTCCGTTTGGGAAAAGCGAATTTTGAAAAGAAGGAGTGCAGTTTGGTAATAACTTGCATTTTTATCTCCAGATTTGCTAAGCCAGCAAAAATCAGGGTTCTGGACGATTGATACGAAACTTTCAATATCTTTCGATTGACGTGTTTTCTAACTAGGATAAAAATCGCCAGTTATAATTTGCTTCAGTTTGGGAAATGCGAATTTTCAACAGAAGGAGCGCAGTTTGTTAATAACTTGCATTTTTATCTCCACATTTGCTAAGCCAGCAAAAATCAGTGTTCAGGACGATTGATATGAAACGTTCAATATCTTTCGATTGAAGTGTTTTCTAAGTACCATAAAAATCTCCGGTTATAACTTGCTTGCGTTTGGGAAACGCGAATTTTTAAAAAAAGGAGCGCAGTTTCTTAATAACTTGCATTTTTATCTCCACATTTGCTAAGCCAGCAAAAATCATGGTTCTGGACGATTGATATGAAACTTTTAATATCTTTCGATTGAAGTGTTTTCTAAGTACCGTAAAAATCTCCAGTTATAACTTGCTTCAGTTTGGGAAATGAGAATTTTCAAAAGAAGGAGCGCATTTTGTTAATAACTTGCATTTTTATC